TATAGGGATTTATTGTAGGTGAATACTTATACTTGTACTTATGCTGCCCCTCTCCCTAACTAACTGGGTATAGGTTAGTGGTGAGCAAATCCTTATGTAATTAAAGTGTGCTATTTCTTTGATCAGGCTAGTGGTGCCCCTTATTCAGGGCTATGAAGATGCTGGAGACTTCACAGTGATGGAAAGATTGAAGACTAGTGTACATGTAAACTTGGTCTTCTATTTAGCAGTGGGATCCGTCGGCCTTTTTGGGCTTATTCTCCTCATTACTATGCAAAAACCTAGGTTTGTTTCTCACCTCTGAACTTGTTCATCTTTGTTGTTTAATCAAATGTCTTCTTTTGTGGTTGTTGATGTCTGTAGACTTTCAGTCAGCTGTTAACTTATGTACTGTCCCATGAAAAGCTTCCTCACTGAAGAATCATTTATTGTCTCATTTCACCATCTGCTTGTGTGCTATTTTTTGGGGTCATCTCCTGCATATTAAATTTATTAGTTAGTTTTTAGCTATGTGATTAATTTTTGAAAACAATGTTTACATGTTGAGGGCTCAATAAACTGATTTTTTTTTCCCGGATATTTGGGGCTGAGGGTTTGTGAACTATAGTAGAATTGAGGTGACACTGTGATGAAGATCGTGTAGGAATTGGATAGATTGATTATGATAGTTATTTAGATACTTTTAATATTTATCGTTTAAGTAATTTTTTTTAATTTTTAAGGGTTTAGTTGTCATTATAACTATTTATTTCTTTTAGAGTTCTTTTAGGATTTGTGCTCTCCCTATATATATAGGGAATACGGGATTTGTTTTGGTAGACTTTGATTATTGATATTGAATTTTCTTTCTAAAATTCTCTCTATTTTCATCTCCTTCTTTTCTCATCCCTTCTCATCTTTAATTCTTCCCTAATATGATCTACATCAATTTGGTATTAGAGCCTAACTTCGATTTGGAAAAAGGAAAAAAAAAAAAACGAAGTTACTGTTCATCGCACTGTTCACGCGTGCACTGTTAACCNTTCCTTCTCATCTTTAATTCTTCCCTAATATGATCTACATCAATTTGGTATTAGAGCCTAACTTCGATTTGGAAAAAGGGAAAAAAAAAAAACGAAGTTACTGTTCATCGCACTGTTCACGCGTGCACTGTTAACCCAAAAAAACTGTTCATTCAAAAACATTGTTCATCAGTGAAAAAAAAAAAAAATTTGTCTCAGCAGATTAAAAAATTACAAAAAAATCCTAGTTGTTCCAGAAATTACAGAAACACCCTAGAAAGTTGCAGAAGCTGCAGAACTACCCCCAGAAATTTCAAAAATTACAAAATCTTCCCCTAGAAGTTTCAAAAATTGCAGAATCATTCCTAAATGTTTCAGAATTTTTTCTTGATTATGGTATGCATACTCCTATGAAATTTGAGACTAATATTTTTATTCATTGAAAAATTAGAGAATTTGCAAAGGATTGAAAACATATTTTCTTCTATTTAAGTTTTCTCACTTCTCATAATTATTAATTACATTCTTGAACTCATTTTTATGTTATTCTCATCTTTTAAAGTCAATCATGAGTTCATATGATCATTATGATGCCTATTCATATACTTATCCAATATCAAGAATGTTTCAAGTTCATAGTTCTCCACAACGTCATCATTATACCTATTCCACTCTTAGAGCTTCTCGGAGTCATCATAAAGTCTATAATAAGTTTGAGTTTTATTATGAAGATTATCTAGAATACTACTCAGGGCATGGTTCAAAGTAGCGGTATCGGCCATGAACTCGGAGGGTACTGATACACATCGGTCGCGGCGTCGCGGCGCGGTATCGGACGATACGCTCAAAATGCAAGATAGAAGCTCCAAAAAAATTTAAAAAAATTCTAAAAAAATAGACATTATCATTTATGCATCATATATCCACAATACATCTAAAAACACATTAAACATAATTAAAATGAAACATAAAATCACGAGCGAAAATAATTATCATTATCAATGTTCAATGTAGACATTTAGGAACATATTGAGCTGTAATCATTGCCACATTGAACGACGATGAGGTTCAAAATCGTCGTTATTGTCTCTAGGATAATACAAATTATGGTACTGTCTACCATAAGAATTAGAGTACAAGTGTGAATACAGGTCTGATTGGGTTGGTTGAATTGATTGACTAGATGACCCATAATCAGAGTAGTGTGACTGTGGAGGTTGTACTGGCTGGTTCCCATACTGATAGTACCCAAAACCACGATATTCACGGCCACTACTAGCAGAAGACTGATCATATCCATAAAAGTTGACACTATCCGATGTTGTGTTAGAAGATCCATCATGATGTCTCCTTGGAACACGATCATAGTAACCACCAGTACTAGTACTAGTAGATCTCTCAAGATGCGTAGGGCGATGGCCATAATGCCCAGCACTATTAGTACTAGTAGACCTCGAAAGCTGCGAAGGGATACCATATCCATATGATCCATGTGAATAGCTAGATTCTATACCACTACTTTGATGATGTCCGTAAGACATGTATCCTTCATATGATGTCAATCCCAAATTCTGCATATGATCGTCAATATCTTGTCGACTAAGTGAATGATGGTAGCGTCTATGGGAATAATCATCACCAATGGAAGAGTTTAAATTCCTTCGTTGTTTCATTGCCCCTGGTCTATATCCATGGTCTGTATCCTGTGTGGCATAGTAATTGTCTTGCCCCTGTGCCCATGACATACCGCCAGGTAGCTGAGTATCACTACCATCTCCAGTAGTCCCTCCACCATCACTCTTGTTGCTCTCATCTTTATCTCCACCATGATTACTAGCATCATCATCATCAGTACTACTACTATCACCACCACCACCACCATAAGTATCAGCAACATTATTATCATTATCATCATCAGAAGAAGAATCACTAGAACTAACAAAAATTCTCATAGCCTTTTTACCCTTATTAGTTGGCCTCGTATCTTTTTCAGATCTTCTGGTAGTGGCATAATTGCTAGATGTTGGTGCCGTATTAGTGTCACCTTCATCAACTACATCTCGTCCACTTCCACCTTCTTCAATGTCACGAATACCTTCATCCAGCCAACCTAAATTATCAGGTGGTAAAATTGATTCCTCCCCTTCTCTTATCCACTCATCTAATATATCATCATCATTAAAAATACAGTTCAAATCAATTGGATTATAAAAATCATCATTTTCACGCTGATATGTCAAATTTTTAACTCGCAACCGCATATTGTAGTGCACAAAAACTAGCTTATGTAGCTTTTTCATTGCCAATCGGTTGCGAAGTTTTGTNTTTCAAGTTCATAGTTCTCCACAACGTCATCATTATACCTATTCCACTCTTAGAGCTTCTCGGAGTCATCATAAAGTCTATAATAAGTTTGAGTTTTATTATGAAGATTANCACGAATACCTTCATCCAGCCAACCTAAGTTATCAGGTGGTAAAATTGATTCCTCCTATTCTCTTATCCACTCATCTAATATATCCTCATCATTAAAAATGTAGTTCAGATCAATTGGATTATNGGTGGTAAAATTGATTCCTCCTATTCTCTTATCCACTCATCTAATATATCCTCATCATTAAAAATGTAGTTCAGATCAATTGGATTATAAAAATCATCATTTTCACGCTGATATGTAAAATTTTTACTCGCAACCGCATATTGTAGTGCACAAAAACTAGCTTATTTAGCTTTTTCATTGTCAATCGGTTGTGAAGTTTGTATGGATCAGCGACCATATACTCCAATTTCTTTCACACCCTGATGATGAACATGTTTGGCTTAAAACTTTGACTGCATTTTTTTGCAAATGGGGAGCTTCTTCGCCATAATTGATTCACCATTCAGCTACAAAAAAAAATTAAAATTGTACAATATAAGTATTGTCCATGAGAGTAACAAATGATACTTTACTAAATACATATAGTTTAAAAAATAAACCTAGAAGGGAGGCATGTACAACTTTCCTAGTGAGTGCATTTCCAAACTCGCCATGTTTGTCAGTATATAATTTGATCTGCAATTTATTGTGTAATGTATTACGTAAGCGACAAATATATACACATATTATAATAAAAAATTATCAAAAATCGTCATACCTCGTTCATTGCCCTTGCTTGTTTAATCAAATCTGGTTCCAATATTTTAATAACCTCTTTCAAACCAGATCTTACCTCAGGATGGTTAAAAAATTGATTGGAATACTGAAAAACTGGATTTAAGAAATAAGCTGCAAAATTTTTGACAATTTAATGTAAGTTAGTAANTAAAAAATTGATTGGAATACTGAAAAACTGGATTTAAGAAATAAGCTGCAAAATTTTTGACAATTTAATGTAAGTTAGTAAAAAACTATAATATTTTACAAGCTAATACACAAAAAAAATTTATATTTTTAAATACTTTTACCTGTTGCATGCAAGTGTCTATGCAATTGGATCTCCCATCTTTTGTCAATCACGGCCCAGNTGGCGATGAATTCAGTGACAAATTGTGTTATACTTGGCCTCAATAAATCTCTGTCTCTAGTATGTTGTTTCATTAAGTTGACCACTTTGAGGCTGTTGTAGATAAAGGATGTGATTGTCTTAGCATCATCTATGGTCTCCTTGATTGCTTTCATATGACCAATATCTTCTAGCATCAAATCGATACAATGGGTTGCACAAGGAGACCAAAATAGATGTTTTCTTTTATCCATCAACATCTTACCAGCTGCTTTAAAGCTTGTCTCATTGTCGGTTACTATATGTACTATATTTTCTTCTCCAACTTCATCAACAACTTTATCCATAAGAGAGAAAATATAGTCAGCAGTTTTTGAAATATTTGTGGTATCAACTAAAGTATGGTAAATCATACTACGGTCACAATAAATCATGAAATTGATAATGAGTTTATTTGTTCTAAAATTCCACCCATCAGACATGATTGTGCAACCATACTGAAGTCATTTTACCTTCATCGAGGATATATACACGCCAATCTCTTGAACCTCCTCGTCCAAATAAGAACTACCAATTTGATATCTTGTGGGTCCTTTATTCTTGGGCCTGCATCCGCAATAGTGTCAATCATTGACTGATAGTAAGGGCCACTATCAGTTACATTGAATGGTATTGCATTAAAGAGGAAGAACTTTGAAATAGCTTTTTTCACTTTTTTTAGGTTCTCACCTGAGAATATGCCTTTTACTGACTTTTGTTTAGATGAGAACATGTATAGATCAATGCCACTTACAAGCACGCTGGCACCTTTTTTTACGCTATAGTTACGTGGCGGTCTGCGCTTGATTCCTGAGCTTGATGGTTGTGATGATCCAACACCAAAAAGCTGACCCTTATTAGAACGAGTGCTTGCATTTGATATGGAGTGCCTACGACCCTCTTCCTCCATCCAAGCCATTTGACGGCTTTCCTTCATTGCATGCTTTAATTGTCTTCTTTCAAAACTACCTTCTTCAAATTGATTCTTACCATCATCATCATCGTAAAAATCTTCATCTCGTAATGATTGTATAATTCGTTCTTTTTTTCTTTTTTATAGAAGCCCTTTCTTTACTACAATCATTGAGATGTTGTCTCAAGAATTGTGACACTTCGTTTGGTGCATGTGGATATCCTTCCACCTGGCCAGATATGCGTGCAATATGCTGTTTCTTTTGAGTAATGCCACCATGAACTATTTTATCACAATAGTTGCACTTTGTAATTCGTTGATCACCAATAGGTGTTGTGTGTTTCCAACCAATGTCGTGTTGTTTAGGAGCCATTCTACAATGCCACAAATTTCAAATAATTAAATAAGTAACATGCAATTGATTGAAATAGTTTAAATATAAAAAAAAAATGTAATTGTAACATTTAATTTTACATAATTTGAAATAAAACATATATTTTTTATAAATAAAAAAATAGAACTTATATTCACTTATTTATTATTATAAAATATTAATGTATCTAATTATTACATTAAAGTTATAATTTTAAAAAAATACTTATAATATTTATTCAATAAATAAGTAATTTAAATATAACAATAATGTAATTGTAACATTTGCATCTTTGGAGGAATGAAACCCAATTACATCTTTGCCTCTCTGGAGTAATTTAAATATAATTGTAACTAAAATAATGTAAAACAACATGTTGGAGCTTAGGAGGAGTTGAACTAGTGACTTGCAACATGACAATTTGCAACTCCTCCCAATTGAACTACTATTTTTATGTTATATTTAAGACAAATATAAATATATAAACACATAAATAAGTAATTTAAATATAACAATAATGTAATTGTAACATTTGCATCTCGATGAATGGAACCCAATTGCATCTTTAAAATAATGTAAAACAGCATGTTGAAGTCTTGAAGGAGTCGAACCAGTGACCTGCAACATGACAATTTGCAACTTCACCCAATTGAATTACTACTTTTATGTTACCTTTAAGATAAATATAAATATATAAACACCCAGTTAATAAAAAAAAAATAGACAGCTTTTAAAGACTTTTTTTCCCTGCCCACTTACCTCTTCGATTCAGAGTCTTCAGACGAAGATTTTGTCTTTCACTTCTCAGTCACGACAACAGAGAGAGAAAGAGAGGTGCAGACAGAGAGACGACCACGGTCCCTCACCGACAAAGACCGAAGAAGATCGTCTCAACAAAGAATTGAAGAAGATCGTCACGACAAATAATCGAACAATATCATCACACAAGACCAAATGAAGAAGATGCGTCCGGGTTTAATCTACAGGTATGTCGAATCCTTAGTTTTCTTGGTTTCTATAGGGGTTTGCTACTTCAGGGTTCATATGATTTATGTAATTTTCACATGGGTTTCGAGTCTTTCAATTGATAATGGGTCTACTTTATTTCCCATCCCCCTTCTTCTTTTTTTTTTTTGGATTTTTGTTCAATTTTCAGAAAAATGATTGAGTGTTTAAGCTTTTACAGATGTGTGGATGACACGGGTGTTGGACTTTTGCTCTTTATCGCAGATATGGGGAGATTTTTTCACTGTTGTGTTCGACTTGGAAAAATTCCAATAAGAGTCACCCGAGTTGAACTGAGTTAACACTGACACCTTTGATTTTGGCCGAGACATCCGATATATCGCCGATATTAGTTAAATTCATCAATCTTGCAATTCGCATATCGTTATCGTTTCGTCAATGACTGAGTCGTATCGGACTCGGCCGATAGCTGGAACCATGTTTGGCGGGCACCTTAGTATATTGAATGAAATAAACATGACTTAAATTGGTTGACCATGTCTATGGTGTCTTTCATCATAGTAGGCTAATAGTATCCCTATCTTAGGGCCTTATGTGCCAACGTCCAAGCTCTTATGTGATTTTCACAGATCCCTTCATGGATTTCACCAATATATCATCAATATACACTTTTATTGTCGAGCCAAGTTGACCGACAAACATTCTACTCACTAGCCTCTGGTCGGTGGACCCAACATTCTTTAATCCAAAGGGCATGACTTGGTAACAGAATGTCCCTTGTTCGTTTACGAATGATGTCTTCTCTTCATCAGTTTGATCCATCTTAATCTGATTATAGTCTTAAAAGACATCCATGAAGCTGAGGAGCTCATGACCCAAAGTGGCATCAACAATGGGATCGATCCACGAGAGAGGGAAGTTGTCCTTTGGGCAAGCTCGGTTCAGATCAGTGAAGTCAATACACAGGTGCCACTTTTCATTGGTCTATTTGACTAAGGCCACAAGTGCCAACTAGGTTGGGTAATCAACCTCCTTGATGGCTTGGCACTGAGGAGCTTTGCTGTCACCTCATTTATAGACCATTGTCTTTTTGGGACAAAACTCTGCCTCATTTGTTTCACTGGCCTACAATTGGGATCCATACTTAGTCTGCGAACTATTACCTTTAGATATATTCCTTTCATGTCTTCCTGTTTCCAAGCGAAGACATCATAACTACTTTTTAAGAGGGTGATGAGCTTTTCTTTAATGTCGTCCACCAATCTAGAGCCCATAAAGACCACATGCTGAGGGTCTTCATCTACTTGGGGTAACTAGTAGGGATATGTAAGAACAAATAATTTTTATTAGAAACATCCCTCTAATGAATTCTTTGAGAACTTCTATTATAAATGGATTATATAGAATTGTGAGGCATAGTGTATGAGACAAATGTATGGATTTCGATTTGGGTCGCATTCTATGGTTACGATTCTACCATATATGCCGTCACATATTGGACTTAAAAAAAGAAAAAAATTTCTTTATTTTGAAATGATTTGATATAACCCACTAAATGTGTTTTGACAGGTAAGAACTGTTCTTTGCTGATGCCGAGTTGGTTGAACGTGTTTGAGAAGATAATATCAGCAGAGCTTCCATTGTAAACTAGAACTCGATGGACATTTTTGTTGCCGATGATGGGCTTTAACCACAAAAGGATCATCATGAGGAAGTTAGCATCTCTCCAGGTCGGCGTCTGAAAAAGTTATCTCCATATCAAGGTGTGGGACTTTGTGCACAACACGGACCTCGGAGAAATCTTCAAATTGGGCTTTTTGTACGTATGTTGTCCTAGCAGACCTAGACTCGCCCCATCCAGCAAAGCTGCCAGAGATGATGTGAATTTTCCTGAGAGGCTGCTAATGTTATGGTTACTATGGTCTAGCTTGGGGCAACTCTTGAGTGTTTGTAGCTTGGTGGCCTCCTTCTCGTGCCATGAACCTTCCCAGGTAACCCTTCTAAATAAGGAATTCAATTTCCTTCTTCACCTGGACGTAGTCATCAGTGTTGTGATCATGGTCCTTGTGGAAACAACATAACTTGTTCATATCCCTCTTTCAAGGGTCGAACCTCATCCTTGAGGTCTATTTCATTTACTTCTCATGTTGAACTTGATGTAATATCTGGGCTAATGAAGCATTCAAGGGCATGAACTGTTCTGGGGCAAACTGCATCTAGAAGTCTAGCTTTGGGGGTGCTAACAAATCTTACACATCTCCCGTCTTTTTGGGAAATCGATCTCGATTCTTCTTAGAATTAGATTTTTTCCTTTTTTTGTCCCCCATTGATGTACTGCTCTGCTTTGGCTAACACCTCAGTCATGTTGGTGTGAGGATTCTTAAAGACTAAGAATAGGAAGTCGAATGATTGGAGCCTAGCTATGAATTTTGTTAAGGCCACCTTATCGTCCAGGCTGTCAACTTGAAGAGATTCCTAGTTGAATCGATGCACGTACTTCCTAAGTGACTCATTTGGTTTCTACTTAATGCTAAGAAGGTAGGAGGTCAGTTGGAGGTGGGTCTTCACACTGATGAAATGAGAGACAAATTTCATGGACAGTTCTTTAAAGGAAGAAATCGAGGTTGGAGGTAACATATTTGTATCGGGCCAATGCAAAGCCTTTAGAGTGATGGCACAAGCTCTGCACTAGTTTGGGTCTTGGTACCCATGCAACTCCATCTAATTTTTATAGGTTTTAAGATGATCAAATAAGTCTTGGGTTCCATCAAAGGCTTCAACATGGGGCATCTTGAACTTGGTAGAAAGAGGGAACTGTTGCATCTCACGCATAAAAGGAGACTCTATCTGTTGGACCAGAACCTCCCTTGACACTAGGGTTCTATTCTTCACATTCCTAGGCTCGTTCTGGACTTCCTTTATTCTTTCTTCCTAGTATTGGTTCAAGGGATTCTACATGGGTTGAGGTTGAAGATTTTGCCTTCTCTCCTTCCCAGCTTTGCTATGAGCCTCATTGTCATGTTCTCCTTGAGCTTGACAATGGTGAACGTTCCTACCCGAATGGCTCCGATGGTCTTCTTCTATCAGTCCATTAAGAGTGGTTGAAGGAGGTGGATTTTGAGGAGGTTGAGGTTGCTGGACAATGAGAACGGTGATGATTTGCTGATTTTGCCTGAGAAAATGTAGCATGGTTTCTTGATAAGTCTCTGATTCCTCCACCGGAGGTGGGTTTGTAGGAGGAACCATTAAAGGAATCCTCTGTTGATTTTCAGGGTTTTGACTCATACTTCTGGTCAAGGTCATCAACCAAATACAGAAAAAGATGATTTCAGAGTAGAACGATGGCAATCGTTATCACAGATGGTGCCAAATTGATGGTGCAAGAAATAGAGGAATTTGAGTGTAATGCGTGCATAGTTATGATATGTGTAAATGGCTTGTATGATTCACCAAAAGCCAATGGAATGGACAAAGTTTAAGTGGTTTACCAAGCTAAACAGCTCGGCTAGTCCACTGTGAATGAAGTCTCCTGCTCCTCAAGAACAAAATGATTATAGAGGGTTTAATCCTATTTTCAATATGGGGTCTTTCTTATTTATATAAGCAAAGGTTTTTTTTTTTCCCCTTATTCAAGATTGTGTGGACCCTTCGATATGTTGGAATTATTTGGGAAAAATTTGACCATTAGAGAAAATCCTAACCGATGTCCACGTAGGCTTCTAAAAGCAGTGAGGTGGCATTCTTGAGGTGTTAGCTTGCTTCCCAAGGTAGGATTGACTTATTAAGCTTTTCTTCTTCTTGTAATAACTAGATCCGAGCTGGCATGATTGTAGCCGAGTTGCTTGGATATCACTTGGTGATCTGGGAGTTGAAATACTTGTGCTGGATGACCCGAATCAGGTCAGTTTAGTTGAGCTTCGTAATATTGGGTTGTAATGAATTAATCTGAGTGGTAATTTATGGTATCATCAGATTTTAAATTCATATTTGATTTCACGAGTTTTATATTGACTATAGATACTTAACACAACCCTTCTGATTTATTCAGGTTTGATAAGGAACATACACAAACACACTTATAATAAAAAAACATAAATCAAACTTATATATTTTTTTTATGTAAATAATGGTATATTGGGAAAAAAAATATAAGATAGTAAGAATTAAAAGGATGGTAATTGAGAGGAGGGCGAACTCATACAAAAAAAAAACTTTATTAGCAATTCGCAATTTTCCAATATGGGGTTTTTTGTATTTTGTATCCTGAAGGATTTTAAGTTTTTCACTTCGTACCTTCAAAGATTAAATTTCTTGCATTGCATCTTTAATGTATCAAAAGTATTGCAATTTGACCTTTCTGTTAGCTTCCATTATTTTTTCTATTAAAAGTCAACTCATTGATATTGGCAAAAAAATTAACGAAAAACTAACAAAAATGTCACATTTCAATACTTTTAATATATTAAGAAAAAATTTCAGCCACACTTCTTTTAGTTTATCATATTTTTAAAGAAATCCCCTCTATTTTTTAAATCTTTACTGACACCCCCTATTAAATTAAATTTGTTAATTAGAATGCAATTTTACTAAATTGCACATGATATATTTTACGAAAAATTTTATTCACATCCTTAATAAATAGACACATCTTCAATGAAACACTCTCTATTTTTGCGTATTAAAATTTTAGTCGATTAAAAATTATATTTTTTTCTTATTAAAATTTTAGCCTATTAAAATTCTATTTGAGGCTCAAATGAAATTTTAATCAATTCGCATTAAAATACATTAAAAAATATAAAATTTAATCAACTCAAATTTTAACATATAAAATAAATTTTAATTAAATTAATTGAATTTTAATAAATAAAAAAATATAAATTTTAATCGGCTCGAAGATAATTTTAATTGAGGCTAACAACTCAAGTAGAGTTCAAATCAACTTAAATTTTAAAACTTAAAAAAATATTTTTAATAGGTTCGAATTTTAATATGTAAAAAAATAAAATTTAATTAATTCGAATCGAATTTTGATCGACTCAAATTTTAATATGTAATTTTTTTTTAATTAGTTCAAATTTTAATATGTAAAAAAATGAATTTTAATCAAATTTTAAGTAGAAAGATTATTTGGGGTTTATATAGGGATAATTTTGGTATTTTAAATAATTATTTTTGTTATAAATGGTGATTTAATGACAAGGTGTGTCAGTGATGTTTAAATATAAATTAGAAAAAATGTCAGTGATGTTTTTGATAATAGAGGGAGTGTTCTTAAAGATATGGTAAACTAGAATGAGTATAATTGAAATTTTTTCATATATTAAAGATGTAATATAAAAATTTTAATTTTTAAAGATATAAAATAAAAAATGGTTAATTGCACTGTAGGTCCCAAAAGTATGGATTTTGTCCAATTTTGATCCCCAATGTTTCAGTTGCATTATTTTGGATCCTAAAATATTGAATATGTTTTTATATGGTCCATCTATCAGACAACATCCAGATTGCTAACAAATTTTTATCATAAATTTATCCCTTTATACTTAAATAAGAACAAAAACATAATTTGGATAAGAGCTGTCAAAATTATTTACTCAAATTTCGGTAAAATAGTTACCTAAATTATATAGTTTTGATCATGACTTATCCAAATTTTGATCAAAAGCTACCCATATTATACATTTTTTTTTGTCAAGAGCTATCTACATTTTGTTTAATAGTTGTCAAAATTATTTTTTTTCCATATTTAGGTATTATATGATAAGTTTATATAATAAAAAATTGTTAATAATCTAGACGTTATTTGTTTGAAAGATCACATAAAAATATATTTAATATTTAAAAAATTAAAATGATATAATTAAAATATTAAAAATCAACATGAAACAAATCAATTAAACTCTGGTACAATAAATCCAATAAAAAACTTAAAATCATTCTGTGTGGTGCAATTCGCCCTGCCAAATATCAGGTGAACTTTTTGAAATAATAATGGCCGCCATAAAGATAAACGAAAAACCTTCGGATTAGGACCCCCACAAAGAAAACCTCCAGATTACAGGGCGGATTCCTTGTGGGCGAATTGTCCATTTGTCCTTCACATTATCCTGTTCCTCTCTATCAAAACACACTATCACGCACACTACTTGGACACTACAGTACTGATAAATTGATGCGAAATTGAAGCATCAAATCTCTTCTAGACTGTATATGGGTGATGGGTTAGCTGCATCAAAACCCAAAGATGCAGCAAATTCAACCCTTATCTCCGTTTCATCGACCCGTAACTCTCTGTCCCAGATTTTACCATACAATAGTAAACCCATTGAACATAATCTCTTTCTCTTCTTCTCCTCCTCCGATCAGTAGCCGTCGGCTTAGAAAGTTCTTTCCGCGCAAAATCCTAAAGGAACCTTCGAAACCGAGTCTCAAACGTCTCACTTCTCGCATCGTCGAACTCACTCGCAGACGACAACTGCTTCAGGTCTATTTCGATTATTTTTCAATAAATTTCGAGCTTCAATGTGAAGTTGGTTTGAATATTTTGTGGGTATTTTGTTTTGTTGTTTTAGATTTTTGAGGAAGTTGAGAAAGCCAAAAAATTGTATGGGCAGTTGAATACGATTGTGATGAACGCAGTAATGCAGGGTTGTGTTCATTGCGGGGACATAGATTCTGCTCTTAGGGTCTTTGAAGAAATGTCGAAGCTGGAGAGCTGTGGTGTTGACAATGTTACATATGGCACATTGGTGAAGGTACTTGGAATATTCATTTGGGAGTTCTGTTCGATTCTTTATGAATGGGTTTCATGTGGACAAGAGAATAATTAACTGATAATATGTGTATGAGAATTGGATATAAGCATCATTTCTACTATGTGTAGGATTTTTTGGAATTATGCTAGGGCATTGGTTTTGGACAGAATGCTGGTCAGATAATAAACACGAGAAGAAAAAAAGCATGGTGAAAATGAGAATGTCAACATGGATGATGTGTGGAATGAAAGGATTAAACAGAAATTTATCACAGTTGTGATACACCTAATATCAGTAAGACATAAATTGAGAAAAGAAATTGACTAGCATTAATCCATTTTCAAGCTATAACTTTTACTCAGACATTTCTAGTTTGCCTTAAGCTTGGCTATTGCCATAGTCTAATAATTCTTAACTTATTTGGAAGTGATTGCCAGCTAATTCCTTTTGCATGCTTCTTTTTGACCGGTGGAGTCTTAGGAGTACTTGATGTGGGAACCTGTTTTTCGAATGACAAGAAAAAATCTCCATGAATTAAATAAACTCCATTATGTTCTAGGTTAGACAGTTTTGACAGAAAGTGTAGCAAAGGCATACAATTGGGTCTGTGAGTTAGGGTGATGTGACCCTCATTGATGACAATGCCAGAGTTAGACTAAGATTGTAATTAACATGAATTGAAACAGTACAAATATATGATAGGTTTTGGTTTGATAGAAAACATGGCTTCGGATACATTGGTATGACATAATATGGTTCATGCAACCAACTGTAAGTAATTGGACAAGGCTTTGTTATGTCGACCTGAGTTGAGTATGTTATAATTGATTTTATGCTTACTTGGTTTTTTCAGTTGAATGTTTTATTAATATTTTTGGCTTCTGAGTTGAATTGAATTTAATTCGACTTTCTTTTCTATGATCACGTGGTAAAAATCTGTGTATATGTTTATTTGTTGACTGTTCTAGTGGTTATAATTCTATGCATATTCGAAAAGGTTTCTGAGATGTGAACTGGGTGATTTTGTTGATGACTAGGTGACTGGTGAGCAATCAGTCAGGCCTTCTATAGCAATTTGGCAAATTTTAATTTCAATANACTGAAAGATATGCATGAAGTTATCTATACGTTAAACCAATTCAGATTCCTAAGCTGGACTATCTTTGGTCGTTTAGTTGATGGGAGTCTTAGAATTATTATGGAAAGCTGTTCATCTTATCTAGCAAACATTTCTTCTACATTCCGCATACTTAAAAACTTGTTTGATCAAATGAGCTTTTATTTCCCCTCCACTTAGCATCCTTATAGCTGAAGGTGCTCTGTTTTCTGTATACTGGGATTTTACCCACTCATTGCATTATAGAGCATGCAACTTGATGCCAATGCACTTGTGAAGATCTCATTGTCCAATGGGTTTAAGTGCTGCTACTAGCAATTGAAATTTTGTTCATCGTTAAGGTAACCTAGTGTTGTCTTGCCTTAAAGATTTATATTTTTCTTGTATAATGAGAGAAGTACATATGTACTGGCAAAAGTCGTTTGATCATATTAGACCTGGCTGTCTTAATCTGATAGCCTATGAGCAAGAATGTTCGCAAGGCATTTTTATCCTATTGTGAATGTTAGGGACATTCATAAAGTTAGTTTTTTAATTATGGCTTTCTTTGCCTCCTCTTTGCTTTACTGTGAATTTTGGTAATGTTCAGAAATCATAATGTAATGCTTTACTGTCTTTGCTTCTTCTTTCTGCCATCTTTGAGGATTAACAATTTTTTTTTAGTACCCTGTTCCTGTAATATATTTCAGTATGTTCTCCACAGAACACTTTACCTCAGGCTCAAAATGCAGCAGTTTCATCAACGCTATCCAATGCAAGAAAAGAGGTGGTACAAAAGTCCTCCCCTGGTCCCAGTAGACACAGTCCTATAGTGAAGAATCAGAATAGTAAAGTTGTAAGCTCCAAACCTGCAGAACAATCTGCTGGTGGCTATGATACAAAATTGGTTGAAATGGTAAACTCTGTTATCGTGGACAGAAGCCCTTCTGTTAAGTGGGAAGATATCGGTGAGAAACTACAACATATCCTCTTTCCTTCATAGTATGCCTCTTTTGCCTTGTCATTTTTGATTCTATTTTGCTTATCAGAGTTTCTTTGCAGCTGGCCTTGAAAAGGCCAAACAAGCTTTGCTGGAGATGGTAATCCTACCAACTAAAAGAAGAGATCTATTTACTGGTATTCGTAGGCCAGCTAGAGGTATTAGTTTTTGGAGAATTCTATGTTCAAAGGAATGGAGTTATAGTTCTAAAAGAACTTGTCACCTGAAAAGATGTGGTTTCTATTTTTCAGGTCTGCTTCTGTTTGGACCACCTGGTACCGGGAAGACCATGCTTGCCAAAGCAGTTGCTTCAGAGTCAGAGGCAACATTTTTTAATGTTTCTGCTTCTTCCCTAACATCGAAGTGGGTGTGTCTACAGAATTCCTTAAGTTTCCTTTTGTGCTTGTCCTATAGCGGTTTTTATATGATATTTACCAGTGATGGTTGGACTTCTTACACATTTCTTTTGAAATGAAAGGTAGGAGAAGGTGAAAAGCTTGTCCGGACTCTTTTCATGGTTGCTATTTCGAGGCAGCCATCTGTAATATTCATTGATGAGGTACATCACTATACTGGCAAATATAATTGTGAGGTTCAATTCTATCATCCCCATTACTCTTGTTCCATATGTTGGTGGGTTCTGCTACCAAATGCGCCATTACTTGCCTGTTCAAATTTTTAGGTAGCATTTGGTAATGTTTTCATTTTTGTGTTCTTTTTTATAAAAAAAATTAAACTAAATTTTGCTTTTTTTGTGATAAAAATTAAAAATATAAAACATGTTTGGTAGTGATTTATATTTAGAAAATTATAAACCAAAAATAAAAATTTTCTTTGGTATTATACCAAAATTTCACCATCCAAACCCCACCATCCAACCGTACTGACCACCCAAAACCACCACCGAAACCCACCCCCAACCCCACCATCGAAACCCACAATTCACCCCCACCACTGAAACCCACCACCACAACCACCGAAACCCACCCCCCCCACCACCGAAATCCCACCACTGAAACCCATCATCACAACCACCTAAATTCACCACCACAACCACCAAAATCCACCATTAACAGCCACCGAAATCCACAATTAGGATTATATATGCATATATATACATAGATCTCATAGATCTATGTATATAACAAACACAAACTTTAAAAAACAAATTTCACAGAGGGGTTAGAGAGAGAAAGAGAAAGAGATCGATGGAGATGGAGATGGAAAGACTGGAGCTTCCTTCGCCGTAGCTTCTTTCGCTTGGAGCTTTCCTTTGCTGGAGCTTCGCAAGAGAGATGATTGAATGAGGGAAACACGGGGGACAGACAATAAGAGAAGCAAAAAAAAGTTAAAAAAAGGTCCTTTTATACTTGGAACAATAAGAATATCTTTTATGCTGTTAATGGGGTTCAAAGACAAGACCTCATTAATTGAGGCTTGAGGGACGCGCGTGTTTTCATTTTTGCCTTGTTTTTGAAAGCATCTAAATAGGTGTTTTAAAAAAAAAAGTATAAACATAAAATGGAATAAAAGAGAGGAAGCAGAATCAACATCAACATCAAAGCAACACAACGAAAAAAAGAAAAAACAGAAATAGAGTAGAAGAGGAGAAGCAGCATTAGAATCATAGGAACACAAGAAAAGAAAAACAAAAACAGAGTAGAAGAAAAGGNGCATTAGAATCATAGGAACACAAGAAAAGAAAAACAAAAACAGAGTAGAAGAAGAGGAGATGGTTCTAGCACAACCAGAAAATTAGAAGATGGGAAGAATTAGAAGAGGAAGAGGAAGAGAAAGACGAAGAGGAGGAGGAGGAGGAGGAGGAGAAGAAGAAGAGGACATAGACATACCTTTGGCGTCTGTCTTAGCCTAATGCAGGGCTAGAGCAGCATGTTGTAGTGGGCTTTCTTGGTGAGTGTCGCAAGTCGGTCAGTCAGAGAAGAAGAGGAGGAAAAGAGATATACGTTCTTGTGAGTGGCGTAAGAAGAGGAGAAGAGGTTTCCTGCTATTTGTTGGCTCAAATAAATGTGGTGATTAGGGTTAGTTTACATATATATAAATGAGGCTCAATTGGCTATAGTTGACATATCTAATTTTTGATCCAATTGCATCAATCCAACGACGTGTAATAGTTTAAGATATAAAATTAAAAAGAGTACTAAAGTGATGCTTATTCACTTTTTTCACCTTTACTTGCTTTTCTCTCGTCTTGTCCACGTTCGCTTTGCCAGTCATGTTCAAGGCGACATAGGGTCGTCTCGCATTGCTTTTCACAACACTGGTCCACCCCATGAGTTAATCACCTGCCTGTATAGGACCATACTCTTATTTTCCTTAAAGGAACCACCGGTCGTTGGTAATTGCTCATATTGGTTGAGTTGAGAAATTTTGTATTAGCTTATTAATTAATTGCACAGATTGGAATTTGTGAAAATGTAAATTTGGCAGCTGATATTATGATGAAATTTGTCAAATTTATGATTCTAGAAATTTTTTTTTGGGGTCAAATATGAATTTGTAAATTGGATAGTTCATTTTTTGTACATAGAGATTCTTTTAATTTTTTTATGTCCCAACATGTGTATATTTCATCTGCAGTTACTTGATAGGTCCAGGCTGAAAATGAGTGTTTGGATTTTTGTAACTTTACATTTCATTGTTTCTCTGCAATGTATAAGTTGCATTGATATTTACTGATATACATCTACATGCATATGCGATATATGTGTGCATGTGTACTTGGCGGCCTTATGGTGGATGGTTAGAGAGATTGTAAAGAGAAAGTGTTGCAAATAAAATTGAACAACAAATGAAGGGGATTTTAGAAATTTTACACATACTCTTAAGTTGTTAGTCATCAGTTATGGGGGTTTAGTATCACAAGTGAAAGTTGAGAAGGGAAATGTGGAACCAGCCCAAATTACAAAGAATTATGTCTAACTAACCCTCTCTTTGTACTTAAATAATACAATAATCATTTTATATTTGCAATTATTTATCTACATTTTTTTTGGACAATTAGGTAAGATATGGGATGTGGTTGGTTCAACTGTGGGTTCACATGTTAAAAAAAAAGGAAAAAATTTAATGTTGAAGAGATGACTTTTGTACAAAGGATATCTCTACTATTTTTATGCCTATTTTCTTGCTTGTTATCAAATACTGCGAAATGCCAAATATAATCTTAATTGAAGATAGTCACTCACTAGTCAAAAAGATTTAAAATAAATAAAAATAAATTGAGTATGCAGAATGTAATTTTAGTATAACTTGAAATTCAAATCGAGAAGGGTTATACAAATTGAAGAATAAGAGATATTAAAGAGTAAATAATTAAAATAGTTGCATTTAATATCCCCAAGAAGGAGATATTGCAGATGATTTTGATCATAGAATTAAAAAAATGCTAGACTAAGCGAATGAATGGATCGAATGTATTATGTCAATGTATACTTCTTATATTGAATTGTAGTTCTCATTAGGCTAACGATGTTTTTTGGTGCAGAGTGTTGGGCAGTTAAAAACAACTATGCTCAATGTATAAATGTAGCGGAAATGATAATGTTTAATTGGATGCGCGGTAAAACAAGAAATTACAAAATTATGAATGAATATATTAGGGAACTAGGGGGAATAGCACTGACAAAAGATAAATTAAGAGGGAATTGTTTTAGATGGTTTGGACATGTTTATAAATACATATAAATGTTGCGATGAGGAACAGTGATGTGATCCCTATCAAAGGAAATATGTAGGGTGTAGGTAAACCAAAATTAACAGTATCATATCGTAGAACGACATGATAGCTTGTGGTTAAGAAAAAATATGGCCCTTGATAAAGCATGGCAAGATTCACATGGTGGACCCCATAATAACTGTGACAAGGATCATTTGAGTCGTGTTATCCGCCCAAATCTTGGTTACCAATAATTGTGCTAAGCATTATTTAGAATAATCAAAATAAAAAATGGGCACCAATTGCTTATGTATTATGTATGTATGCAATGTGTACCAAAAATCCAATTTTTGTGCTTACATGTGTGTAGTTCTGTTGATTTTTTTGTCCATAACATTGCTCTTGATTGAAGTATGAAAAATTAAATTTTAAGAAACAGTAATCAGCGCGGTGGTCTTTGCAATGCCCTTCTTGAAGTGCATGATTCTCTTTTGGTTCATCATTTAATGATATATAGAGGGGTTACGGTGTTGCTTTAAGGTTTAGCCTGTTTTTCCTTACTGTTTAGCTAATTTTAGGTTCTCGAATTCTGATAGTATTGGTCAATTGAATCAATTAGTAGCATAATGTTGATTATGATTTTTAACTGTCCATTTATGGTAAGGAGATACGTTGCTTCTCATATTGTTGAGAACTTGACTCAGTTTCCTTTTTTTTGCTTGCTGATGGTGCCTCCTCACTTATGATGTTTAGTGCAGGGGATCTACGCCGTGCTAATGGCCTCCTTGCACGGTATGGTTTTGTGCTTCATGAAGATGGAAGCCCGTCAATATTGTTTTACAACTTACTAATGAAGGTGTTGTGCTACTGTGTTGTAAGACTAAACTGACGAAGTTTAGTTTTTTGTGGTTATTTATTGTTCTGTTTTCGGCTTTTGTAGAATTTAAAGTTACAGATCATATTGTGCTAAGTAAGCACAAAATAGCTAACAAATGTCACTTTTTTTATGGACACTCCAACTTTCAGGGTTATATAAGCTCCGGTTGTCCTCTGGCAGCATTAGGTGTGTACGATGAAATTCAACAGCAGGGAATGATACCTGATAAGCTCACATATAATACTCTGATCTTTGCATGTGTCAAGACTGAAAAATTGGATGCTGCAATGCGTTTTTTTGAGGAAATGAAGGTATCATGCATGCACTTCAACTTCAAGGGCCAGTTTAGAGCCTGATTATTGGCTTAGATGGCATATAAGAACTTCCCAGTTTGCTTAATATATTGCACTTGTGATTGTTGCAGGTCCAAGCTCAGAAAGTTGGGCATGATGATCTTTTCCCAGATGTTGTCACATACACTACATTGCTAAAGGTTACCCGGGCATTGATTTATTTGTATGCGATAGGTCTAAAACTGTGTCAGTCAANCATGTGTGCGTCTGATATAATATACTTCGGTATTAGGGTTTTCAGTCAACAATGTAGTCAATTTCAATTGAATTATGATAGGGTTTTATGCCTTGTTTGTATTCAGGGGGTTTCAGGTATTTTGTCTTCGTTGATTTCTTTTATATATTTGTTACTTTGTTTTGAAATTTTAGTGGTTTTTGAAGTTTGATTTATACTTTTCTGTGTTATCAGTACATTTCGAGTCTTACACAAGCGTTGGCGTATTGTCATGAGAAGCATGTGATTCATAGGGATGTCAAGCCGGAGAACTTGTTGCTTGATCACGAGGTAATGCTCCTGAAACCCTTATAATGGCTTTCAATTTGTTGAAGCAGCTGTATTTTCTATTTATTTGTTGGGTTTTCTTCCCGATTATGTGGAGAGACGAGAACTGCACATTGACGTTTAGATGATTTATCTGATATGGCCCGAAACTGAATTTAGTGAACAAGAATAGTCCTAAGACTTCTAATCAATTGTATTGTTGAGTGATTCATTTGGTTAAGATTAGTTTAGAAAGCTGAAACCAGAAATCGTTACATGGGTCACAAGGATGGGGATTTTGCTCCTTCATTTTCATGAACTGACCTATGACTCATGAGATTTGTTTAGGTCACTTAAAATTAAAACCATGAGATTTGTTTACTTCATGTTGTAACATCCGATAAGTGTGTGATGAAGCATGATTTCAGCAATATGCACACAATTGAGTTGGTGAAAATTAATGTTTCTTTCAGCAATCTGCCTAACAAGATTATAGTTTTGACAATATAAGCTTTTCAGCCTTTTGGTTGAAATAGCTGAAACCTTGACATTCCACACTAGTTATCAAACCAATTACTAGTCTAAAAATTCAGAACATGCCATAAAATTCGGGTTCCACATTTAAGTAAAATTACTGTGGTTACAATTGTAGGGTCGACTGAAGATTGCTGATTTTGGATGGTCTGTACAATCAAGAGGCAAGAGACACACTATGTGTGGAACTTTGGACTATTTAGCACCAGAAATGGTGGAGAACAAAGCTCATGACTGTGCGGTTGATAATTGGACTTTGGGTATCCTTTGTTACGAGTTTTTGTATGGTGTCCCTCCATTTGAGGCAGAGAGCCAATCAGATACATTCAGAAGGTGAGGAATGGATAATTTGTTGCTTCACCTGGTGTTTGTAAATCATTAATTTGAACCGTAACAGTTGTAGATCATGAATTTAAATTGAATTGCACATAGGATTATGAAGGTTGACCTCAGCTTCCCTTCCACCCCTTCTGTGTCTGCAGAAGCTAAAGATCTCATTAGCCGGGTAAGTTGGCTAGTGAGTATGTCCACAATTTCATGTTTAGCAGCAAAAGGATATAATTGCATTGGTAAAAATGTCGCCTTAAATTTGTGCAGCTTCTAGTGAAGGACTCCTCAAAAAGGCTCTCTCTTCAAAAGATTATGGAGCACCCTTGGATAATTAAGAATGTTGACCCCACAGGTACATGCTGAAGTTGACCGTAGTAATTTTCGTTCCCATCTCTTGATGATCGAGGAATTAGGTCACACTTCCCCAAAAAAAGNCATCTCTTGATGATCGAGGAATTAGGTCACACTTCCCCCCAAAAAAAGAAGATGTTATAATGTTGTGGTAGAACAACTCTACTACCAAGTTCATTACGTAGCTTCCAACCTTTCATCATCTTTTGTAACTTCATATCATGTGTTTTCCTGCACCTACCACCTTAATCTGATAAAAGTTTCCCTAATCTGTTCACATTAAGTATGCAATTACTGATTTGCTTAAAAAACCTGGACAAGAATTTGAACTTTTCTCCTTTCGGACTACGTGCATTTTCAGAGTTGCTGACTACTGGCTTGTTTAATTGCAATTAAGATAGGAGTCTTTAGTTTCCTTTAATCATATTGATAGGTAGGTTGAACTTGGCATGGTAAAATCTCCTTCCACCAAGTAAACGAGGTGAACTAGAATATCTTGAACCACGGCAGGTTGGCTTAAATCCACAAATAGCCTTTTGAAGACTCAAAAAAAAAAAAAATCTGGGTAATTACGCTTTCTTTGGACTCACGGTTGTTACCTGCATAATATGCACATTAGTTTAACTTGGGTTTGTGATCAGCAAGACTCGGATTTAGGATGTGTCTACATCTTGCTCTTTGTATGGCTCTTGAACCAATCCATCATGGATTTAGAGGACTCAAAACCCAATGAAGGGCATATACATTTTGTATTTCCCGAAGAATGAGCAGTTAATTGTGTTTCTTGACACGACCCCTTGCTTCTAACCCCGTTTGCCACTATGGTTGAACCACGTTGATGGCATGTTGGCAAGATGAAANAATCAATTGTATTGTTGAGTGATTCATTTGGTTAAGATTAGTTTAGAAAGCTGAAACCAGAAATCGTTACATGGGTCACAAGGATGGGGATTTTGCTCCTTCATTTTCATGAACTGACCTATGACTCATGAGATTTGTTTAGGTCACTTAAAATTAAAACCATGAGATTTGTTTACTTCATGTTGTAACATCCGATAAGTGTCTGATGAAGCATGATTTCAGCAATATGCACACAATTGAGTTGGTGAAAATTAATGTTTCTTTCAGCAATCTGCCTAACAAGATTATAGTTTTGACAATATAAGCTTTTCAGCCTTTTGGTTGAAATAGCTGAAACCTTGACATTCCACACTAGTTATCAAACCAATTACTAGTCTAAAAATTCAGAACATGCCATAAAATTCGGGTTCCACATTTAAGTAAAATTACTGTGGTTACAATTGTAGGGTCGACTGAAGATTGCTGATTTTGGATGGTCTGTACAATCAAGAGGCAAGAGACACACTATGTGTGGAACTTTGGACTATTTAGCACCAGAAATGGTGGAGAACAAAGCTCATGACTGTGCGGTTGATAATTGGACTTTGGGTATCCTTTGTTACGAGTTTTTGTATGGTGTCCCTCCATTTGAGGCAGAGAGCCAATCAGATACATTCAGAAGGTGAGGAATGGATAATTTGTTGCTTCACCTGGTGTTTGTAAATCATTAATTTGAACCGTAACAGTTGTAGATCATGAATTTAAATTGAATTGCACATAGGATTATGAAGGTTGACCTCAGCTTCCCTTCCACCCCTTCTGTGTCTGCAGAAGCTAAAGATCTCATTAGCCGGGTAAGTTGGCTAGTGAGTATGTCCACAATTTCATGTTTAGCAGCAAAAGGATATAATTGCATTGGTAAAAATGTCGCCTTAAATTTGTGCAGCTTCTAGTGAAGGACTCCTCAAAAAGGCTCTCTCTTCAAAAGATTATGGAGCACCCTTGGATAATTAAGAATGTTGACCCCACAGGTACATGCTGAAGTTGACCGTAGTAATTTTCGTTCCCATCTCTTGATGATCGAGGAATTAGGTCACACTTCCCCAAAAAAAGAAGATGTTATAATGTTGTGGTAGAACAACTCTACTACCAAGTTCATTACGTAGCTTCCAACCTTTCATCATCTTTTGTAACTTCATATCATGTGTTTTCCTGCACCTACCACCTTAATCTGATAAAAGTTTCCCTAATCTGTTCACATTAAGTATGCAATTACTGATTTGCTTAAAAAACCTGGACAAGAATTTGAACTTTTCTCCTTTCGGACTACGTGCATTTTCAGAGTTGCTGACTACTGGCTTGTTTAATTGCAATTAAGATAGGAGTCTTTAGTTTCCTTTAATCATATTGATAGGTAGGTTGAACTTGGCATGGTAAAATCTCCATCCACCAAGTAAACGAGGTGAACTAGAATATCTTGAACCACGGCAGGTTGGCTTAAATCCACAAATAGCCTTTTGAAGACTCAAAAAAAAAAAAAATCTGGGTAATTACGCTTTCTTTGGACTCACGGTTGTTACCTGCATAATATGCACATTAGTTTAACTTGGGTTTGTGATCAGCAAGACTCGGATTTAGGATGTGTCTACATCTTGCTCTTTGTATGGCTCTTGAACCAATCCATCATGGGTTTAGAGGACTCAAAACCCAATGAAGGGCATATACATTTTGTATTTCTCGAAGAATGAGCAGTTAATTGTGTTTCTTGACACGACCCCTTGCTTCTAACCCCGTTTGCCACTATGGTTGAACCACTTTGATGGCATGTTGGCAAGATGAAACATAATCCAGACTCGAAGCATAACAAAATTCCTCCTCTCCCTGTTCTGAATAAACTTGTCACTACCAAAGAATGATCTAAGAATAATTACCATACACAATTGCATACCAAGATACTCAGAAATCACCTATTTTATCATCAAAACAATCTGTTTTCTCGTTAGAAAATCTCTCCTCAAAGATGGTCTCAAAAGGCTTGCAACATGATTAGGAGTTTAACAAGTATTAGTTATACTGAGATTTTATGGTGATAGAGAGGCCATATTACAGATGCTGGTATTTTCATCGGTGATGGTGGTGGCGTCACTGCTGCTGCTTCTTCTAGTAGAACTATTTTCGCCATCTGTTTTTTGTTGAAGACTTGGAGTGATTGAGATAGAGAGATTGGTGTTCAAGTTTATGCGATTATCAAGCTTTTTAGGTTTAGCAATAGGAGCAGCAGAACTCCAAACTCTGGGAGGAGCAGCCTCGGAAATAATTGCTGACTCCGAGGCTATAGATAGCTTTCTTGCCCCCCTGTGCATGTGCCGCTGACAATACTTCTGATCAGGAATGACACCCCTACTACATCGCCATTTCTTACCATCGGTTCTCCTGCATCTCTGTAAATCAGTATCTGCAGAATTACTATATTCAAAGACCGAGCTACTGCAACCTGTGACTGCAAGGAATGGTAGAGAGAAACAAACCACATTTCACATTTATCAAAAACCCTACTAAGCAAATTTAATCCAAAAAATATGTACGAAAGGAATTCAGTGCAATTTTTTTTTCAAGATAATCTAGGATAGTCCAACTGAAATAAATGTAGAACTTGACAATTGTTCAAAACTCGTGAAGAAATAAGATCAGTCAAAAATAAATTAGTGAAAAATCAAATGACAAAGGGATTTTGTTCTTACCAGTACCATCTTGAAGAACACTGTTCGGGGAGATGCCAAATCTTGGAGCTACAGAACCACCAATTTTGACTTCTTTTACATTGCTGCTGCTTCTCTTTACCAATCTGTAATTGGAATGGTCAAATCCGGTGTCCTTGTCACCAATGCAGTAGCTGTTGTCTTTGGTGTTGAATTTGTCGGCAACTGCACTGATGAATGTGGTTGTGACGGTGGTGTCTCTATTGACACCGACATTGTTTTTGCTTCTGTTGTCGATATTGCAGAAATTGATGGTGGTAGGGGTGGCAGATGAATCACTAAAGATATTAATTTTGTTAACTCTACTGTTGCCACTTCTAGAGGAGGTAGTGGTAGTTTCAGCAATGGCAGGGACATTGTTGCTGTAGTCAGAAGAAGAGGGAATCATGAGGTGAAGATTGGGAGGAACAGAAACAGAGAGATTGGCAATTGTATTGGTGGTGTTATAAGAATTGATAGCTGTAGAGGTGTCACTGGATGTGATGGTTATGGTTGTATCAGATTCTGAAATATTTTTAGAAGATTCCACATGCTTTCTTGAACGCTGACGGCCTCTGTGCATGTGACGCTCACAGTACTTCTGGCCAGGAACCACATCTCTACTACACCTCCATTTCTTCCCATCAGTTCTTCTACACCTTCCAGGTTCAGGATCCATCATGCTGCCGTAATCAAACACCTGAGGACTAAATCCAAAGACTAAAACCAGTGGAAAACAAAATGTTAATCCAGATTTTCAATCAAAAGTCGATAAATGAATACAAGCAAGCCAGTTTGAAAATAGCAATCTCAAAGTCGAAATATGTAATAATCTAAAGGAGGACTACATTACACCAACACTTCCTTGGAGTTTGGGCCAAGTGCATACAATACCTGTAAATTTCGAGAGATTACAGAAAGTTCCCTCACCAGAGCGTAATATATCTTGATTATTCGATTTCCAAAAAAAAACAAAAAAACAGAAAAAAAATAATAAAATAAATAGACCCTCTCACCCCCTCCTTTTTTCTTGTGAAAGCACTCAATGAAGCATTATCACCCACCTAAGAACCAGCTCCATCCATGCAGCCACCTCTGCCACCCAATTAACTATCCATGCAACCACCACCACCACTCTAGGAAGCACGGGTTCGGTTACGAGTGCCACATCTGATACGATATGGACAAAAAGATATAACAGAGTTCAAAAATACAAGACACGAGTAAGACACGGACATGACTAATTAAAATATTTTTTTATATTTTGGATAATAATAGAATTATAATATGTTAAAAAAAACATATTTTGTAGAAGTATTAATAATAAGACCTAACAAATATTATTTTTTTAATTAAAATTGAAATAGATAAAATAAAGCATCTACCATTTTTTTTTTTTTTGGATAAATAAGCATCTACCATTTTCATCAAGCATTATTACATCTATTAACATTCCTAGTCCACAAGTTACTAAACCAAAAAAAAAAGAAATTCTACACTCTTTTTAATAGTTAAGAGTCATGAGATTTAAAGTAAAATAAATCTTGGTGGTATCTTGTCTGAGTCCTAACCATGTCCTAGTCATGCCCAATTGAATTCACTATTTAGAATACTTCTAGTTATGTCTGATGCGTTTCCATGTTAGACACGTGTCCAACACTGTCACGCACCCCTCCAACGAGTATTCTTGTTTCATGGCCACCACTTCATCACTAGTCCTTAGAACCACAACTCCATACCCAACACACAGTACCACCATAATTCAAAGTTGCGGTATCGGACATCTACTTAGAGAGATCTGAAACACATCGATCATGGCTTTGCATCGTGGTATCGGACAATACGACCTAAAATAAAATGTTGAGCAAGACGAGAGATTCAGGTTATAATGCGGTATCGCAAAACTGTATCGGCCGATTCGATGACGATAACTAAACGACTCAGCCGAGTTGTGCAAGATTCAAGATTTATACGTGTCATCATTATGTAATGGTATCATCTCGAAAGATGCCAACTAAGCACCACCACCAACATGACCTCCTCCCTCCATCGTTCATCGAAGACCCATTACATTTGCGTTGGAGACAAAGAAAGACCAACCCAACATGCCCAGTATACATATTCGAAACTGTGATTAAATTACATATTTGAAACACTTATCCATCTAAAAACTTAAACTTATAGGTTGTGAGCCTATTCACAATATATTACAACCATTGATTCTTGGAATGTATCCCCATTATCATCGGACATGAACTAAGGTTGGAATCACTCTGTCTTCCTTTGTATGTTTGTGTATCTGTATGATAATTGTGGGCTATCTTACAATGGTTTCACCATAGCATGTCCACCATTCATTATCAACCCACTGTAGCCCTCAACATACAAGAACAAATTTCTAGATACATGAATAAGTTGCAACTCCCAGCCACCTTGATGAACCTAGTGAATATGGTCCCTATCCCTCCAAAGACTGATCGGTTGTGGTAATAGGTAGGGAAGTGCTCATTGGTTTGAACAGAAAAACAAAGAGAGAATAAGGAGTGGGTAGTTCATTCAACTATAGACACGGGCATTTTCATCATGATAAATTGACCCAATGGCTGACCCCTGACCGATTTCATTGATCAGTTGGAACATCAATGGGGAAAAAATTGCCTTCCTGCAGGTCCTTGATATGACATCAGGAAAACAGTGCTTATAGTGGTTACAACCTCTAGGGGTCACAGTAATTTCTCAGACATAAGTGGTACCTTGTGTTGTAAGCCCAAACATCAAGGGCAGTTAGTCTAAGTTAACCTTCACAGAAACCAGGGAAACTAATTGAATCAACATAAGCCATTTCAAAGCAAGACAAATAATCACAAACAATCTCTGCAAAACCAATTGGACAAAAAAATTACGTATAAAGCAATGGCAATGACTACTATCAATCTAACTTACCCAAAAAAAGAGACTACTATCAATGTGACGAGCATAAACCTTTCAGAAATCTAAATTTGATGACCTCAAAACTGCATCAAAAGAACAAGACAGAGATCATAGTTTCATAGATAAACACAAAAGACGCAAACACAACCAATATAAACTACAAAACCCAACTTAAAGACCAAGTACTGTATAGACCCAACAATATAAAAACCAAAACTCATATTTAAGTTCCTCATGGAAAACCACATAATCAAACAAAATATTATCAATTTGATAGTAAGAAATGGCGACATTTGTGGCAGAAGCCCATCTTAAGTTTCAAATCTAGTAGATATAACCTATAATAATAAAGCAAAACCCATAACACAATTTCCAGAGAAATCTTTAAGTGCACAACAAAAATCAGTCAAACAAATGCCAAACCCATCCAAAATTCCAAACTTAAGACAAACATCCGTTCGCAGATACCTAATCCAAAATATATAAGAACCCTAAACTTGAACATTCATTAGCACATTAATAAGATGAAAACCCATCTTAACTTTCAAGTCTAGTAGACATTCACCTATCATAAAATTGCAAAAACCACCCTTAACACGATTTCCACACAAATCTTTACGGGCACAGCAGAATAGGTCAAACAAACACCAAACAATCTCAAATTCCAATCCAAAGACAAAACATTCGTTGGCACATACATAAGTCGAATTATATAAGAACCCTAAAACAGAACATTCGTTAGCACATAAATAAAGTGAAAACCCATCTCAACTTTCACGTCTAGTAGACATAAACCTATGATACCATAGCAAAACCCATAAAAAAATTACCACAGAAATCTTTAAGAACACAGTAAAATCAGTCAAATAAACACCGAACCCATCTCAAATTCCAACCCTAAGATATAACATTCATCAGCATATATATTTAAGAACTGTAAAACAAAACATTCATTAGCACATAAACAAGCTGAGAAATGAAATAAACAAAGAAACCCACTTACATCTTGGAAATTGATTATGGATTCCACCACTGGCAGCGCCAATGGAGCTTCCAGAACTCTTCCAAATGGGAAGAACAAGGTGAGATGGAATAGGGAGGCCAGAGACTATGAACTTGAAGATAAGGGCTTGATGATGGAGTTCATACTCCTGTGCAGCTGTGAACGCAGACTTTCCATGGTGTTTGATCGCCTTCACATGGCTCCGTCCTCCAGAACCAAAGGCATCAATCCCAAGACAAGCTTGATCAACGGTAATCGTTAATCAGAAATTATAATATGAGCAAACCAAACACCCTGTACACATTGTACTCCACACAAATTCTCAGNGCAGCTGTGAACGCAGACTTTCCATGGTGTTTGATCGCCTTCACATGGCTCCGTCCTCCAGAACCAAAGGCATCAATCCCAAGACAAGCTTGATCAACGGTAATCGTTAATCAGAAATTATAATATGAGCAAACTAAACACCCTGTACACATTGTACTCCACACAAATTCTCAGAGAGAGAGAGAGTACCAGAATGAGCAGGAGTGGTGAGGGGTTGGGGCTCCATTCTTTACATGGATTTAAAGCTACTGAGCTAATGGCGTGTCAGAAAAACACTATGCAACTGTCTCAACAGAGGTAAAAGCATGTGTCTGAGAGGGAGAGAATCGCTTAAAAAGAAGGGCTAATTTCATTTTGAACCCTGAAAGATGCNAAAATTTTATATTTGATACACAAAACAGTATTAAATTGATCATCGATAAAAATTTGCAATAATGGATATACTTCATCTTTTTCATATTCAAAGCACTTCCACCTTACGTTCTTTAATTTATGACAAAAAAGTGAACAGCAATTTAGGTCTGGTTCAAATTATTATCAATTTATAATATTAAAGNGCTTTAATTTTTAATTTATACTATCAAATATTAAAAATTTTAATTTATACCCTCAATATTATGAGTGTTCATTCTATCTTAAGGGTAGAAAATATAATCTTTCATCTTCTTATCCAATACTTTGTGTAAGAATTTTTTCTTGGCCTACCCTACCCGATCAGGTGTGATATTTCTACTCGNGCTTTAATTTTTAATTTATACTATCAAATATTAAAAATTTTAATTTATACCCTCAATGTTATGAGTGTTCATTCTATCTTAATGGTAGAAAATATAATCTTTCATCTTCTTACCCAATACTTTGTGTAAGAATTTTTTCTTGGCCTACCCTACCCGATCAGGTGTGATATTTCTACTCANATATCTTTTGGAATACAAAGCGAGATTAGCCCAAAAAGGAAAACACCACAAAATTGCTGACTGACATGCACTACGCACGCATCTGGCCATCTTGTAGGGAGAGAGAGAGAGAGAGAGAGGTGTCAGAGTTGCTGTCTATGTGTTCAGCCTTAAACGAAAGGAAAGCTTCAAACACAATATTCAGAACTGAAGACAACAGTCCCAATCAATATGGACAGCGAGTGATTGTCACGGCCTAACCAACGAACGGATAGATGCTGAGTNCACCCTACTCAATGTTATAAATTGATAGCAATGTGAACCATTGGTAGTAATGCAGATTTGACTCAAACTGCAGTTTAATTTTCTTATTCTAAATTAAAATACATGAGTTACAATTGCTTCAGGCATTGGTTTATGTGTAAATTCATAGACTAATTAACAAATCATGTGAGTTTTATACATGATATAGTTAGCTTATATTTGATCAATAAAATTTTATATTTGATACACAAAACAGTATTAAATTGATCATCGATAAAAATTTGCAATAATGGATATACTTCATCTTTTTCATATTCAAAGCACTTCCACCTTACGCTCTTTAATTTATGACAAAAAAGTGAACAACAATTTAGGTCTGGTTCAAATTATTATCAATTTATAATATTAAAGGTATAAATTAAATTTTTTAATATTTTATAGTCTATATTAAAAATTAAAATATCTTTTGGAATACAAAGCGAGATTAGCCCAAAAAGGAAAACACCACAAAATTGCTGACTGACATGCACTACGCACGCATCTGGCCATCTTGTAGGGAGAGAGAGAGAGAGAGAGAGGTGTCAGAGTTGCTGTCTATGTGTTCAGCCTTAAACGAAAGGAAAGCTTCAAACACAATATTGAGAACTGAAGACAACAGTCCCAATCAATATGGACAGCGAGTGAATGTCACGGCCTAACCAACGAACGGATAGATGGTGAGTCGGCACAAAATTCAACATTTCACCACGCGCAGAATTTTGAAATTTATTTATTAAATTTTCAAAGAAAAATATATTTTTTAATGCAAAAACATATTTGTTAATAATATAATTTTAAATATAATAATAATTTAGTAGTGTAGTTACTCACGGTGCCCCATTTAGACTCTTCTATGACTTCAATAAAGTTAGCAAGCAAAATTTGATCCGGTGATGCGGTGTTAGATTATAGGTCGGGTCAAAACACTTACTGTTTCTTGTTGTTTAGATTTTAACGGGTGAAATTTGATTTCTTGTCGTTTAGACCTTGACGGATGAGGTTCTCTCATAGGTTCGGACTGCTCTACTTATCTCCCTCGAACTTTTATCTGTAATAAAAAAATATAATAATAATTCAGTAAAGAAATTTAAATCTACAATATCTAGATAATAAATAAGTTTTAAAACCGCTAGATTCGGGTAATTAAACTCAACAAAATGATAGTGGGTTACACATCATCATTCTCATTTATGTGGGTCCCTTAGTGAAGATATGGGACGATTTGGGCTTTGCCAATGCTAATTGGGCTTTGCGGTGGTCAGGAGACTGTTTGCTTTATATTTTTTGGATTTGGGCTTAGAGCAAGCCCAATCTCTGCTTACACATTCTCAATAAGACTCTAGTTGGTCTGTTCATTCTCGTGTGTGTGCGTGTGGATTAGACCTATACATGGTCCAATTGGTATTGTAAGAAAGGACATGTAACAACCCACGTGATAAACTTCTTATGCATGTTAATATAGAGAGATAATATTCGATTTAACAGTAACACTACGTCGTGGAATAACAAGTGAGCAAATGAATGTCATACAATTCAATAACAATCACTCTATGAAATATAATAATTGCCCCATAGAAAGAATTGTGATTCACTTTTTTTTATTACGTATGATAATAACAATGTGATGTTACTATTCAATATAAAAGGAAATTGCAAAACAAATCCACCACTTGAACCCACCAAAGCCACCACCAGAACCACCAAAGCCACCACCAAACCCAAAAACATGNTGATAAACTTCTTATGCATGTTAATATAGAGAGATAATATTCGATTTAACAGTAACACTACGTCGTGGAATAACAAGTGAGCAAATGAATGTCATACAATTCAATAACAATCACTCTATGAAATATAATAATTGCCCCATAGAAAGAATTGTGATTCACTTTTTTTTATTACGTATGATAATAACAACGTGATGTCACTATTCAATATAAAAAGAAATTGTAAAACAAATCCACCACTTGAACCCACCAAAGCCACCACCAGAACCACCAAAGCCACCACCAAACCCAAAAACATANGTTCAGCCTTAAACGAAAGGAAAGCTTCAAACACAATATTGAGAACTGAAGACAACAGTCCCAATCAATATGGACAGCGAGTGAATGTCACGGCCTAACCAACGAACGGATAGATGGTGAGTCGGCACAAAATTCAACATTTCACCACGCGCAGAATTTTGAAATTTATTTATTAAATTTTCAAAGAAAAATATATTTTTTAATGCAAAAACATATTTGTTAATAATATAATTTTAAATATAATAATAATTTAGTAGTGTAGTTACTCACGGTGCCCCATTTAGACTCTTCTATGACTTCAATAAAGTTAGCAAGCAAAATTTGATCCGGTGATGCGGTGTTAGATTATAGGTCGGGTCAAAACACTTACTGTTTCTTGTTGTTTAGATTTTAACGGGTGAAATTTGATTTCTTGTCGTTTAGACCTTGACGGATGAGGTTCTCTCATAGGTTCGGACTGCTCTACTTATCTCCCTCGAACTTTTATCTGTAAGAAAAAAATATAATAATAATTCAGTAAAGAAATTTAAATCTACAATATCTAGATAATAAATAAGTTTTAAAACCGCTAGATTCGGGTAATTAAACTCAACAAAATGATAGTGGGTTACACATCATCATTCTCATTTATGTGGGTCCCTTAGTGAAGATATGGGACGATTTGGGCTTTGCCAATGCTAATTGGGCTTTGCTGTGGTCAGGAGACTGTTTGCTTTATATTTTTTGGATTTGGGCTTAGAGCAAGCCCAATCTCTGCTTACACATTCTCAATAAGACTCTAGTTGGTCTGTTCAGTCTCGAGTGTGTGCGTGTGGATTAGACCTATACATGGTCCAATTGGTATTGTAAGAAAGGACATGTAACAACCCACGTGATAAACTTCTTATGCATGTTAATATAGAGAGATAATATTCGATTTAACAGTAACACTACGCCGTGGAATAACAAGTGAGCAAATGAATGTCATACAATTCAATAACAATCACTCTATGAAATATAATAATTGCCCCATAGAAAGAATTGTGATTCACTTTTTTTTATTACGTATGATAATAACAATGTGATGTTACTATTCAATATAAAAGGAAATTGCAAAACAAATCCACCACTTGAACCCACCAAAGCCACCACCAGAACCACCAAAGCCACCACCAAACCCAAAAACATGCCACCATTGCCACCACATCGCAATGGGAGGGAGAGAGAGAGAGAGAACTATCAAAGAAATATAAAAAAAATCAAATAAGTTTTAATTTTTTTTGTCTTAAAAACCATTAGTCCTAGCATATTTATGTCAGGACAAGGAAGTCCTACTTTTGGTAATGTATTCCCATAAAATGCTAGATACATAGATTCCTTCTTTGCCCTTTACCATTAAATCACCAAAATGCTATTTAAGTTTGGATTACCATTTGTTTTACACCTAATAAGCAAACAAATCAAATTAATTTGATCCGATTTAAAAACTCTAGTCTAAATTTAATTTGAATATCTAGTGGAATTCATGTTCATAGTCTATATCTCAATCCATTAAAAATTAGAATTTGACACTCATACATAATTTTTATTGAATCGTATTTAAATCAGATATCAATATATTTAAATCTAAATACGTGAAATAAGGTCTAACAAATTTAAATTTAAAATCATAATTAAACAAAAATCATGATTAGTTATCTAAATGGGTGCAATCAGAATTTTAGGTATTTAAAGATTTATAAAAATTAATTTTTAACTAAACTAAAACTCAATTTCCAAAATAAAAAGTAAATATGTAATTTATAGTATCATAGGAAAGC